GTGAAATTGGGATGAAAGAGACGTGCACCACCAAATTGGATGACGCTAAACTTTTTTTTATAAAGAAAATCATGATGTGATTCGTGTACTTGATTGTGATAAAAATGTATATAATTAATACTTATCAAATCAAAAGTAGAATCATGGCCAACCACTATAATTACAAATACAAGGTAAAATTCCTATATATCTACACGTGAAACTATTGGCTCCAACTACACCAAATCCTAAACCAATTTAAAATAACATCTATTCTTAGAACTGCGATATCTTTGGCCTAACTTATCCAAATAACTTTTTTTTTGTCGAGCCTAAAATTCATGATTTAATATGATCTATCCAACAATTCCAATATTGATATATTAAATCTTGATATGTGAAAATCTAATTATTAGACCCAAATAAAATAGGAATTTATATAATATACAAAATAAATAAATTTTTATCTATAAAATTTTTGGGTTGCTACAGGTACGTTGGACTAAGCCTGAAAAATATCAATTTGAAAATCTTTGGAGTAAGCTTCCACAATATTTGATATTAGAGCTTCAAGATGGTAGTTTTGGCTTGTGAATAGGATTGGCAACGGTTCGGTTATGGGTCGGTTCGGCCAAAACCATAACCGCACCATCAAATTTTTGACCATACCATAACCGCACCATAACCACGTAAATCGGTTCAGTTCGGTTCGGTTTTTATCTCGGTTCAGCACGGTTCGGTTCGGTTAATAACCACGAAAATAAATTATTTTTTATAGGTTCATCCGTCAAATTGATATAAAACAATTTATGAAAAAAGTCAATGAAAACAAAAACACAATAATCCAAACGAAAATGCAAATATTATCAAACAATATTCCAAACGTAAATGCAAACATTATCCTAATTTTCAATTGTAAAATACAAATTTAACAAACAATATTATAAATATAATAATACTAAAATTTTCCTTCATTCTTAATTGTTGTGCATCGAAATTACTTGATGCATTCTTCCCTACAAGTCTTACTAGTATAGATTAGCATTCAAAGTTGATTCCTATTCATCCTTGGCAATATTGGCACGTCTAGAAAAATATTGAACTCTGTTTTTACATGATCAGCAGTAATAGAATGACTAACAAATGTAGCAAATTTTCGGAGGCGACGACGATTTGGACCGTAGAGGCAATGGAGCCGTGCGTGAGTTTGTGGTTGTAGAGAGTAGGGTTTGCATTTATATACTGTCATACTAATACTATTATGGGCTAATGGTAAGTAGACTGGCCGAATGAGTCAGGTAGATATAATGAGGAGGGGAGGAATTTTGTTTTGATTTGGATAGAAAAGTAGTGTAAAGCCTATTATCAATTCAATTTTTTTTTTAGCAGGTAATCGGTTCGGTTTCGGTTCGACGACGTAAATACCATACCCGCACCATTACGAACCGGTTCATTAAAATCAAAATCATATCCGCCCCATTGCACCATCGGTTCGGTTAACCGCGATTTTCGATTTTGATGGTTCAAATTGCCATCTCTACTTGTGAAATATACCAGAAAACATCCAAGAAACTAGCAAGAATGAAGCAGAAATCATATCGAAGAAGCTATCTAGAAACTATCCAAAAATCGGATCTGTTTGTGTAATTTTCAAACAATCCAGAAGGAGTTTGGTAAAATGGAGACCACTGGTGTAACGTGCTAGTGGTGGCGGTCCAGGCTGTCCGACGACACGTGTGGTAGCGCTAAGACCCACGCACAGAGAGAAAAAGAGGCGTATGAGGGCACGTGAGAAAGAATTTTGAGACGGTATCTGCTAGCAGTTTGTTGCTAACATTATTTCTAACATTTTGGTGTTATTAGTTTTCTGTTTCAGGTTGTGCAGTAGAATCTGGACATAATTGTTCTTCGTACGTTGGAAAATCGATCATGGTTGATAGGTTGCTGCAGTTGCTAGAGACTTTAGGACGAATACTAATGGTCCTAAAGTGATAAATTCACATCTTTCATAATTTACGGATTCAGATTGGTCCGCTCTGATATATTGGCTTATCTCAGTTCAGCATTAGCGCGTCATCGTGTAAGGTGACAATAGGTTTGTGGTTACCATGAAAGGATAACATTACTTGTGCTAAAGATTTAGGAAGTATTTGTCATATTTGAAGTGTTGAGTTTTGATTGCAAGTTGGTAATTGATTTTGTGCTTTAATTGTTATATAGTTACTGTGTGAGACTGTGTTTCTTGAAAATTAGAACTTTTGTTTACATACCTTCATGTTACATTGAATATCCTGTTAGAACACCAGAACTTGACCCATTTGAGCATTCTCCTGATCTAAGATCGTGAATCTTAAGAAATTCTGAAAATCTAGAACAATATATATTGCGGCCATCGGATTACTTTGTATTACCTATTTGTGCATTTGGTTGTTCTATTTTCTTAAAAATGTCTTCACACTTTGAAGTTGAAATTTCTAATGGGAAAGAGAATTTTTCAATTTGGCTACAAAAGATGAAGAGTATTTTAATCCAAGAAAAAGTTTCAAAAGCCATAAATGGCAAATTTCCTACGAATTTGATAAAAGTACAAAAGGAAGAATATGATGAACTTGCGTGCACTTCAATTATTTTACACCTGTCTGACACTGTTTTGAGAAAAGTTGAAAAACTCGAATCTACCAAAGAACTTTAGGAAAAATTGGAGGACTTATAATAAATTGTACTTGCTTGAAAGATTTTCCAGCTTTAAAATGGACCATTCAAAGGATCTTGACTACAATTTGGATGTCTTTAACAAATTAGTTCAAGACATTATTAATTGTGATGAAAATGTCTCTGAAACATAAAAAGCTATTATCTTGCTTCATTCCATGCCTGATTCATATAGAGAGCTTAAGAATGCAATTAAGTATGGTAGGGACACATTAATACTTGAGATTGTCATAAATTCACTTAGAAGTAAGGAGATGGAGATTAAGGCTGAAAAAGATAATAATATGAGTGGCGAGTTACATATGATTAGGAGTAGGATGAAGTTTAAGCAAATGAATTTGGGTAGAACTCAAGACAGTAGTGGCTCAAGTGATGAGGGTGGTAAGGAGAATGATAAAGGACGGGACAAGTCTAGTGGTGTACATTGTTACAGTCGTGATAAGTCTGGACACTTTATTAGGGACTGTCCCAAGAAGAAAGATAAGCAGAAGGGTAAGATGAGAGGCAAGGCAAATTTGGCTTTAGAGTCGAATGATGACCCTAGTGAGGTTTATTGAGAGTAAACCTAGTTATTTTATGTGCATCTGTGTGATATCCTTACTGCCTGTGTGTGATTGCCTACTACATTTCAATGTGTTTGATATATGCATTTGCATGAATTTGAGGCAATATGATTACTTGGTGTAATTGTTTAGATGCATAGTAGGTTAGAATGCATCTACAATGTGGTGTTAGATGTCTTTTGGTGAGGTGGAGTATAGATGCCTAGGGGTACATTGTGGTTTGTGCTAGGGATGTAGAGTGTGACATTTGAATCACAAGTGGAGATGTGAATAAATGTCTAGAATCCTTTATTTGTAAAGAGACCATGATCATGTAGAGTGTGAGAGAGATACTTCTATCAATTTTGTTAAGTGGAAACCCATTATGCATGTCGGTTGGGAAAAGTGATGTGGTGATAGAAGATTATCCTATGAACTTAGGATCTATTATGATTTATCAATTAGATATGAATTTAGTGATGAGTCTAGTGAGCATGGTGGGCGATAAGAGGAGATATGTGCTCTCGAGGTGTGAGCAACAAGAAATATGATAGGATAAGTGTGGTAAGATCTTTTCGTGAGTCATTTATGCATTTCTTGCATGTATTTGACCGTGTGTTTGATTAACTTGGTGTTACTTGGTGGTTCTGAGTGAACATGTTTCGGAAAAGATCTGTGTGTTATCCTAAAATATATCGTCATTGTATATGTATTTGCTGTTGATTGTTTACTATTGAATATTTGCTTCTACTTTGATGTTCTTGACCTTAGGCCTAGTGAGACATGGACCAGATATGGTATGTGTTTAGGGTTGAAAACACAAGGTAAGGTCTATAATTCAATTTTATTGGCTACCTTGATTATGAAAGTGTTAATTGTGTGTTTTAGATACTTGCAGATTTATTGGGCATCAAGGTGGAGATTTGTTCGATTTTTGATATCCAATATATTCGGGGCTATGATGTTAATGTGGGTTAATGTATTTCATATATATAGGTCGATGAATGAAACAAGTCTAACAGTCAAGTCTGCGAGCTCCGCCCGATCCAATTGTATTCCCTCTTGGATGGCTTGAATTTTAGTTCGTTTACCTTTCTTTTTTGTCCAATTAAAAGCCTAATCCTAGACTATTTATAAGATTACAACCCTAGCTATTTTTTAGTGAGATTTTTGTAAGAAAAGAAGGAGAGCTCGGCTGCCCCTTGAAGGGTTTGAAAAAGGGCCTCTTGAAGTGTCCAAAAGGCTTGATTACTTTATGTAATTTGTGATTCTTTCCTAGCCTACCTTTGTTGTGTTTTCTCCTTGTTTTTGTGGTTTAAAATCATCCCATATTCTTGTCCTTTGTGGATAAGGTTGAATAGCAATCGAGATGAATTATATTGGTTGTGGATCGGAGCCGGTTGGTTTGGTTGTTGGAAGAGAAAGGTACGTTGGACTGCGCCCGAAAATCACCGATTTGAAAATCTTCGGAGCAAGCTTCCACAACAATTGGAATTAATGTAGTAATCAAGCGTGTATATTCTTGGATTGTGATTCAGTTTCTTGTGAATACTTTTGCTTATTTTGCTAGTTTGAAGCATCCATCAAACTGTCATGAGTTGTACAAATAAAATTCATTTCAGATTAAAGATGCAAAAGAAAAATCACAAAATATTTTATTTGTAGAAGAATGTCAGTGATTCTTGTATGCATTTTTGGTGTTAAAATATTTATTATAAGCCATAATTTTGATATGTTCAAAACGAAAAAGAAAAAAAAGTTGCACAATGACAAAACACGTGAAAAAGTTTAATTGGGCAAAGATAATACAAGCAGGGGTACAAAGAACTCCATTAGCACACTCAAACAAATGCTGCCAAAACAAGGACAATACTGGATATTGAACGCAATGTCTGTTGGGACAGATGAATTCCATCAGAAGTTTTGACAGGAGTAGTATCATCATCAGAGGGGGGAGGTTTTGAAGCCGGGAGTTTTTTGGGTTTTAATGGTGCAGGAGCTGGCGTTGGAGATGCAAATAGACCATGCGGAAGGAGTACTTTATCAACCTCATATACAGCAAGCTGCTTGTCGGTATATACTGTACTTACCACTGTTGCATTAACCATATCGGTTGTTATGTTCACCTGATTCCCAGATGCAGTGATATCAAGTGGAAATTGTTCGTCATTACCAACTTGTGTTCTTAGTGGATTGCTTGCGGTTTGGAGTTTGGGGACGGAGAAAAATGAAGGTAGAATGTGGAATTGAATCAGCAGAATTTTCTGTTGATCAGTGAGAGAGTTTAACATGCCCTGTTTGAGGTTATTGAATGCAGAATCAGTTGGAGCAAATATTGTAAGACCTTGGTTTGAGTTGTCAAGCTGTGAATTGAGTTGATCATCCACTTGGGTGCTTTTTAGGAGTCGAATAAATGTTGTGTATTGCTTGGCCTTTCCAAGAATAGCATTGATGTTGGTTGGACCGGGAAGTACAGGAACCAGTGCTGTAGGTACAAGAGCCGGTGGCGGAGGCACAGGAGCTGGCGTTGGAGGTGCAGGAGCCCGCACTGGAGGTGTAGGAGCCGGAGCTGGACTCTGCGAAAGCGCTGGAGGGCAATGAAAGAAGAATAAGAAGAACACAAGAGGGAATGTTGAGAATATCTGTTTCATTTTGCAGTTTTTTCGCTTTTAAGAATAATGAATAAACCCCTTGATTATAGATGAAACAACTCAAAGGAGAGAGCTTTATTTATATTGACTGGGAAGTTTTTTTCCTGCAAAAATTAAAAAAAGCAAAAAAAAAAAAAAAAAAAAAAAAAAAAGAAAAAAAAAACCCCCCCCCCCCCCCCCGCCCCAAACAACGATGATAGAATTAGATACATCAAGCATGGCAAAGGATGGATAAAGAGTTAAAAGGACATATGGGAAACTGAACAAGAGAAATTTATGGGTTTAATATGACATTAATAAATAAACAAAATCTCAATAGCGAGTAAAGCATATGAAAGTTGCAAACTACCTTCCGGTGGCCATTGATTCAGGTCTCCATGTGGCGTCACGTCTTCGAGAGGCCCAATGTATAAGAAGAGAAAAACTCTCTCCCTCCCTCTCCCTCTCCCTCTCTCTACACCCGCACACTTGAGATGGGCAATAAATGTCGAGTAAGGTGAAAGGTGCAGTTTAAGGTGATAAGAAATCTTTGACAGAGTTAAGGCAGCTACTGGTTTGCTTAAACTAGGAGGAAGAACAACTTGGCTAATATTGATGCTGTCAACATATGTTTTTCTTCAAGTTTCCATGTTCGTGGACAGAAAATTATGATGATAATCATTATCTAGTGTACAAGAAATCATTAGGCAGATTGATTTCAATTTCAATGCAAATGATTGGATTAGACAAGGAAAATGATTTCATTATTTTGTGCATCATATTATTGGATATAATTTCAAGAAATGATTCCTCCAATTAGTTCATGAGAAACATATTTAGCATCTTAATTGGCAACTAATGATGTAGGGACATCCACCTTTTGAACAAATCTTTTTCTTCAAGTTTTCATGTTGTAAGGACAGAAAACTATGATTGATAAAATGATTGCCAAATGTTGGAGCAGAAATTGATTAACTCGATTGAGATTTGACAACGTGCTTTTGATGCATATTGCTGATGTATTCTTTAGCTATGTTTATAATGTGTTGTAAAAAAAATTATATATTTAGTGTATTGTGCAACGTTCTTTTTGCATTGTTAAAACCTCCTCTATTAGCAACATTCATTGTGTGTTGTTAAAATTTTAAATATTTCGCATCTTTAAAAACGTGCAAGTGATCGTAATTGAAAAATGTTAATATATGGCGTGTTTTACAACGTTAATTGCTTCTTGTTAAAATTTCTTTCTTTAGTAATGTTCACGTCTGTTGTTAAAACATTTACCTTTAGCAATAAATTTAGCCCATTGTTAATATCCTTTTGCAACGATCATCCATATGTGGCCTAAAAAGTTATATATTTCGTACATTTAACAACGGGCAATGACGACTATTAAAAGTGAAAAATATATAAGTACCCACATTTAAAGATACACCTTTAAAATTGAGGTGGTATTAATTAAATAAATACTTAAATAAGATAATGTCACAATAACATATAATTTATGATAACAATTATGTATGAGGGAACGTCATAGTTACAAAGACAAATTGTGGGTCATAATTACAAATTTAGTCACAAATAACACATTTTTATAGGCAACAACTTATTTATTGGTCATAAATTATCAAATTAATTGATCATAACTTTTTTATCGATCATGAATTATAAAATTAATTAGCCACAACTTATTTATTGATTAAAAATGATCAAATTAATTGATTAAAATTTATTTTTCGATTACAAATTATCAAATTAATTGGTCACAACTTATTTATGAGTCACATTTATCAAATTAACTAATCACAATAACCTTATTTATTAACTAGTCAAAAATTACCATTCATCTCCTCCACTTCAATCCACTCGTACTCCACGATCGCTAGGAGGACCACCCAAAATGTCGCCAAGAATTACATCTTCTTCTTTTGCTCATTTAGAAAGTCGTCCTCTTCCTCATGTTTAATAACACCTGCTTTTCACTAATAATGTCCAAATGACATTATTTTGAAAATTCTTCAACATCAAGTTGTTTCACAAGGCCAACTTATTCATTTTCTCTGGGGATATCAGACGAGGGTCACTGAGAGAGTCGTAAGGATGGTACTAGGGTGGTCATTTTAACCTGAAACCTACCTCCCAAACCATAATCAAAGGTTCAATTCCAATTCTAAAAAATAAAATCAGGTTTCAGATCCTAGAACCGATTGGGTCTCTAGTGGTTCTTGGTTTTTGAAAATTGGAACTGTGTGTATCTAACTTTAGAACCGAATTTGTCCTTTTTTTTTCAAAGTTTTTTATTTTTACCAATTTGTTCACCCAAATAATGAATACTCTAATCAATCATCTTAATTCATTTGAATAATTAAATCATATAACTTTCATATGTAGTCACTCTTGACCGCATTTTAGGCGTTGCACGCCACCACAAACTCTTCTTGATACTTCTCACACAGATTTCCACTGTCACAATTAAATGCTATTATCTAAATATTGAATATTATTTGGTGGCATATCTGTAGTGATTAAAAATAGTGTTGAAATATGTATTTGATGGCATATTTTATTTCTTCTATTTCTAATACTGGAAGCATAATTCATATTGTCAGCTAATGTCATGGGTAGTGTTAGAATCATTCAACCTACATGACAGCAATAATCAACCAACCAACAGCATTCAGAATCCATGGTGTGAGCCAGTGTATACCCGATCTTTAGGAGTGGGAATGAAAACCATTAGCCACCTGGCAGAGTTTGTTTGAAAGGTCTAGAACATTCTATTGTATATAATTGCTTGTATTGCATCAATATGTATATCAGTTGGATGAAATGAAAAGCTCCGTGAACTTAAATTCATTCTAAAACAATTCTATTTTCAAATTTGGTATCAGACCTATTATTGCTAACACCAGTACAAGTAACCAGCCTGTTCCAACTGAGTCAAGCACTGTACTATTCAACCAAGTTGTTGTGAATCAGGTCTTACCATTTGGAATGAACCTCACTCAAACTCCATCAGTGAAACTGAACAAGAACAACTTGTTGCCATGGAAAAACATGAATATTCCTATAATCAAAGGGCATAATTTTGAAGGTTACTAACAGGGTACAAAACAGTGTCCATCATAATTCCATTGAATGATAGGTCTCTTGCACTAAATAGACTGTTACATGTGCCTACAATTAAGAAGAACTTAATTAGTATCTCTCAGTTTACAAATGATAATAATGTATTTATTGAATTTTTTCCTGATTGTTGTGTTGTTAAGGATCTACAAATGAAGAAGATTCTGCTGCAAGGGATGCTTAAGGATGGGCTCTATCAGCTGATGTTGCCATATCCTAAGCCCAAACTCACCATTAAAGAGTCAAACTACCAAAATAATTCCAATTGCTTCACAGTGAATTCCAGTTATAATGAGTCAACCAAAGATGTCAAGGTGCTCGAGTTAGAACTTGACGTTTGGCATAGAAAACTAAGTCATCCTCCATACCATGTGTTGAGTTAAGTTGTAACGTCCTGTAAAAAATTCACCAAAGCTAATGAAAGTCCAGCTTTCTGTGAATCATGTCAATTTGGCAAATCTCATGCACTACCGTTTAATATATCTTCATCACGTGCATCAAATCCATTAGATCTTGTACACACGGATGTCTGGGGACCAACACCAAGGAATTCTACCTCGGGGTTTAGGTACTATATCATCTTTGTTGATGATCATAATAGATTCACCTAGATCTACCCTATGAAACACAAATCTGAGGCACTAAATATCTTTATTCAATTCAAAAATTTAGTGGAAAATAAATTGGAAAAGAAGATTAAAATACTACAATTAGACTGGGGAAGAGAGTTCAGAAACTTTGACAAAATTGCCTTAGAATCTGGTATTGAACTAAGATGCACTTGCCCATATATTTCTCTACAAAATGGCAGAACAAAAAGGAAACATAGACACATTACTGAGACTGGGCTAACACTTTAGGTTCAAGCACAAATACCTCTATATTATTGGTGGGAATCATTCAAAGCAGCAACTTACTTGATAAACAGACTACCTACCCCTATATTCCAACACAAATCACCCTTTCAAGTATTGTTTCGAAGGGACTTTGATTAAAAAATGCTAAAAACATTTGGTTGTGCCAGTTACCCTTGTCTTAGACCTTATCAAAAGCACAAATTCAATTTTCATTCTCAAAGGTGTGTTTTCCTTGGCTATAGTGATTCACACAAGGGGTATAAGTGCCTAAGCTCAAGTGGTAGAATCTACATATCCAGGCATGTGGTGTTCAATGAACTAGAATTCCCATTCAAGTCTGGTTTCATAACCAAACTAACTCGGCCACAAACTTCTAAAAGTATTATTAGTTTTCTTTCCTTAATATTGAGTCCAGTCACAAAACAATGCCTCAAAATGCAGTTGATATAACTTATGCTGGTGCACTATCTACTGTAGGCTTCTCTAACAAATAATTAGAAATTGACGTTGAAGGCGAAATAGATTAAGAAAACAATGGTGCTGAGATGAATTGAGAAGAACCAGTTGATCATGAGGTAGTTGGAATCCAACAAGATAGATGTGATGCTGAAGATACCGAAAATGATGTAAACATCTAGGTTCAAAATGCAACACAGAATGTTGGACATCGGATGGTTACTAGAAGCGAAGCTGGAATCTTCAAACTTAAAGTTTACACACAAGTCAAGTACTAGACAAATCAGTAGAGACTGAGCCACTAACTATTGATGATGCATTGCTAAGTAATAGTTAGAAGAAGGGTATGCAAGAAGAGTACAATGCCTTGATGAAGAATAAAACATGGACATTGGTACCCATGAAGATAATTGACAACAAATGGGTATGTAGATTGAAGTAGGACTCAGAAGGCAGAGTCCACAGGCAAAAAGCAAGGTTGGTTGCCAAAGGATTCCTTCAAGCACTTAGAGTAGATTTTGGTGAAACATTCAACCTTGTTATTAAGGCATCAACTCTGAAATTTATTTTAACACTGGCTATGTATAAAGACTGGCAGATCAAACAGGTTGACGTGAATAATGCCTTTTTAAATGGAAAATTGAATGTAGATAATATATGTGAATCAGGCAGAAGGTTCTGTAGATGAGAAAAATCCCAACTTTGTGTGCAAGTTGGAAAAAGTCCTGTATGGACTGAGGCAGGCCTTAAGAGCCTGGCATGAGAAACTTAAGATTACTCCACTGAAATGGAATTTTAAATAGTCCAAGGCAGATAATTCACTGTTCTTCTTAGCAGATGGAAGAGATGTGTTATTTGCACGGGCCTACATGAATGATATAGAAATAATAGGGAACAACAATCAACAATTGCAAGAGTTTATTGATAATTTGAACACTTGCTTTGCCTTCAAGGATATGGGGAGTCTCAGTCAATTCTTAGGTTTGGAGGTGCATAGAGATGCAACCGGATTGCACTTCATTCAAACAAAGTATGTTGTAGACTTACTCAAGAGGTTTGGCTATGAGAGTTCAAAACCAAGCTTGACACCTATGGCAGTTGGCAAATTGATCTCTAAAACTAAGGGACGGGTTATGAAGGATCCAACCTCGTACAGAAGTAGAAGTGCAATTGGTGGTCTTCAATACTTGGCTCATACAAGACCAGATATCACTTATTTACTGAATAGAATGAACCAATTTCTTCAAACACCCACAGATGCTCATTAAAAGGCACTCAAGAGGGTGTTCGGATATTTGAAAGGTACACTAAACCACGATCTTGCTATTTGGAAAAGTGATAGCCTTTACATAACTGCATTTGCAGATTCTTATTGGACATTATGTCCAGATGACATGAGGGCTATTGCGGGCTACTGTGTATATCTTGAAGATAATTTAGTATCTTTGCGCTTTAAGAAGCAACACATTGTTGCCAAATCAAGTATAGAGACTGAATACAAGCACTGCTGCATTGGCCCATCGTGCATCAGAAATTACATGGATTCAATCCTTAATGAAGGAGTTGGAAATATCACAGAGATCAGTTCCAAGTATCTGGTGTGACAATCTGAGTGCAAGTGCACTAGCTTCAAATCCGGTTTACCTTGCACGCACTTAGCATATAGAGCTTGATGTTCATTTTGTAAGAGACAAAGTCCTAAGAGGACAATTGGAAGTACACTATGTGCCATCACTCATTCAAGGTTCTTATTCTTTAAAGACAAGCTTGGAGTGGTAGAGACACTCCACCTTGAGGGGGGGGGGGGGGGGGGGGGGGGGGCGTTAGAATCATTCAACCAACCTGACATCAATAATTAACCAACTAACAATATTCAGAATCCATGGTGTGAGCCAGTGTATACCCTGATCTTTAGGAGTAGGGATGAAAACCGTTAGCCACCTGGCAGAGTTTGTTTGAAAGGTCTAGAATATTCTCTTGTATGTAATTGCTTGTAATGCATCAATTTGTATATAAGTTGGATGAAATGAAAAGCTTGGTGAGCTGAAATTCATTCTAAAACAATTCTAATTTCAAACTAGTAGAACCAAATCGAAACTGATGGTCCGAGTTCGAGTTCAGTTTCAATAATTACATGGACCCAAATGATTTTATTTACGAAATACTCGAAATGTAATAGATTATTCGGGTATTGAAATACCCAAACCAACTAACTCGACTGCAGGCCTAATGGTATATAAAATTGGGACACCACTTGTAACCTCGAACCAAATCTATTAGTTGGAAAGGCAGTAACCAAGCGTGAACGTTCTTGGCTTGTGATTCAGTTTATTCTGGGTACTTTTGCTCTGTTTCGCTAGTTTGAAGTGTAGTTGAAACTATCACGAGTTGTAGAAATAAAATTCATTTAGATTAAAGTAACGAAAGAAAAATTACGAAATCTTTTATTTGTAGAAGACCGTCAATGATTCTTGTATGCATTTTTGGGGTCTTAATTTTTGTTATAAGGCATGAATCTGATACATTGAAAATGAAAAAAATAGTAGTTGATTAATCACAGGTTGCACGAGAATTTAATTCGGCAAAGATAATACAAGCAGGGGTACAAAAAACTCCATTACCTCCCATTCAAATAAAAGCTGCCAAAACCAGGAAGATACTGGATGTTGCACGCAATGCATGTTGGGACAGTTGAATTCCACTAGAAGTATCGACTTGGACATGAGGAGTATCATTAGATTGGGTAGATTCTGAAGCTGGGCGTTGTTTGGATTTTAATGGTGCAGTAGGAGGTGGCGGGGGAGGTACAAAAAGACCATGCGGAAGAAGTACTTTATCAACCTCGTACACGGCTAGCTGCCTGTCAGTATATACTGTATCTGTCACAGTTGCATTAACCATATCGGTTGTTATGTTCACCTGATTCCCAGTTGTAGTGACATTTAATGGAAATTGTCCATCACTACCTCCAGCTTGTGTTCGTAGTGGATTGCTTGCTGTTTGGAATTGGGAGACGGAGAAAAATGAAGGTAGGACGTGGAATTGGACCAGCTGATATTTCTGTTGATCGGTGAGAGAGTTTAACGTGCCAGATTTGAGGTTAGCGAACGCAGCATCAGTGGGAGCAAATACTGTGAGACCTTGGTTTGACTTGTAAAGCTGTGTATTGAGTTGATCTGCCAATTGGGAGGCTTTTAGGAGTCGGATAAATGTCGCAAAATGACCTACCTTTCCAAGAATAGCCGTGACGTCAGTCGAACCAGAAGATGCAGGTGACAGCGCTGGAGGTGCAGGAACCAACGCTGGAGGTGCAGGAGCCGGCGCCGGACTCTGTGAAAGGGCCGGAGTGCACTGAAAGAAGAATAAGAAAGAGAACAAAAGAGGGAATGTTAAGAAAAACTGTTTCATTTTGCAGTGTTATCTTTTTTATCCCCTTTCTTGCAGGGTTTTAAGCATAATGAGGAGACTCCTTGATTATAGATGAAAGGACTCAAGAGGAGAGAGCTTTATTTATATTGACTGGGAAGTTTTTCTTTCTTTTTCCTTTTTCCAGCAAAATTAAAAAGAAAAAGAAAAGAAACTCTCTCGCCCGCTCACGCACGCTGACAATTGAGATGGGCAATAAATGTTAAGTAAGGTGAAAGGTGCACTTTAAGGTGGCTAGAAAACTTTGACAGTGTTAAGGCAGCTACCGGTTTGCTTAAAATTAGTGGAAGAACAACTTGGCTAATATTGACGCTGGCACGGCCCTTTGCGTTTTGAACACATTATTCTTCAAGTTTCCTTGTTACAGAAAATTATGATAAAAATGATTATCTAGTGTACGAGAAATCATTAGGCTTAGGCAGTATGATTTCAATGTCAATGATTGGATTAGACAAGGAAAAGGGATTAATTAGTTTGTGCATCATCTTATCATGAATTACTCAATTCTTGTATTTCTCTTCATATTGTCGATTAATAAAACGTCGTTAATTGTCCATATTGTCGATTAATGATTGTCCCTATTAGCACAAATATTATCATCAATATTATCATTAATTGTGCTAATAGGGACAACACTGTTTGGAACTCTTTTCCTTCAAGTTTCCATGTTGTAAGGATAGAAAACTATGATGATAAAATGATTGCAAATCATGGAACAAAAAGTGAATAATTTTGGTTCTCTTTTATCTATTTATTTATTATTATTATTATTTATTATTATTAATTTTTTTGCGTTGACGGGAGAGTTATTGAACAAAAAATGAATAGTTTTGGTACAACTAAAATCCATCAATTCAATATAAAAATGTTCCATTTCCTAATCCAAATATGAAAAAAGGACTTTCAACTTGATTCCATGGCTAGGTCTCACAACCAAAAAGGAATTTGGAGAAAAAAAAAAAAAAAAAAGGACTACTCGAAAACGTGACAAGTAACATGATGAACAAAAAGAAAAGGTAATTCAAAAGTCTTTCTTGACTAGGATTGAGGAAATAGGTTGCAAGTTTGGATCTTGATTATGATAATACGTGAATTTAAAATTATAAAAGATGGTTCTTGTCAACAATCGAACTTGTGATCATTCGGGGTCAAGTACAAATCTGATACTTGACCCATAAAGAATGACGAGAAAATTTGTATCTTCTACTAAAATTTTAGAAAAGTCAGTAATTTAAAAGAAAAACTTTAAACTTCCAAATCTAATACACCTTAGAACTTGTGATTTTAGTTTTGCCTTTTTCACATAATTATGATCTTACAAAAGACGTGTTATAGGGAAAACATGGAAAAAGCGTACTAAAATCAGTATATGAAGGATTTTGGTGCTTAACAAAATAATTGGACTTTGATAAGTAGTATTAGGAGTTGAAATGGCCTAACTCTGGGATTAATACTTTTTAAGATTTGATTAAGTTTACGCCTCTTGATAAGAGGCTCCAGGTCAGCATGGACGTGGCGTCTAGCTGCTCAAATCAAACGAGCCCACCAAGTTGCCTCCCGCCTACTGAGATGTAAGGAACCTCAGCATGCCATGTAAGCCGACCCTATGTGCCGAGCAAAAGTGCCGACGTAGGAAAGTGTACACGACGCTCCAGGCCTCTGTACTTACAAATGGCATATTTCAAAAATCCTCGGAGGAAATCTACCCTACTAAATTTGCCCATGACTAATTGACGTGACAATTCATTACAATAGCATTAAGTTAAATCGTCAGTATACGCACCAAATGTCAACCCAGGTTGTAGGGCAATTATCTTCCATAAAATTATTAAATGTTGGTCAACCTATGATTGATGGAGTGATGCCTAGGAGATGACATCACCCACCAAGATGACGACACATATCACTTCATCTAACGGTCACCATTTCTCCCCTGTCACTATAAAAGCTCATACATTGTGTCTTTCAAAAGTAATGCAACTTTATACTTTCAAAATGTGATTTCGCTCTTATTGTTTATATAAAATCCTTCCAAATCCGACAATTTTATTTATGGGCTCAAGTCTTTAGCACATCCCGCAGCCCTCTCATATATATAACTAACTTGACAATCGGAGTACGCGTGACCGTCTCCCCCCGCTTCAGAGAAGGTCTTGTGTGGCTTACGATTTGTCGAAGGGTGTAGGACTAAAGGTTTACTTGGACGAGAAAGGACCTGTGATCTATAGGCCATGTGGAGGTACATTTTTCTAGGTCAACAAATTATAATTAAATATTTGACTCAGAAAAAGCGAAGGATCAAGGTTAAAGGATTGAGTTGACGATAAAATAATATTAAAAAAGTACAAAAGATAACAAAATCAGTGTTCTAAAAGGCGGCACCTAGCATGATGGTCGGCCAAAACGCCAAGCCAAGAGGCTTGGTGCCTTATTTGGTGGTCAACGATTGCCATTGATTGCTAAGGTGAGCCTGGCAGTGGCGGATTCAATGGTGGGCTGCACTTGGCTGCAGCCCACTGTTGCCCAGGTCCAAATGCAATCAAAAACTTTTTTTTTTTTTTTTGTCTAAATTGGAATCTATTAGCCCATATTAGCCTAGCAACAATTAATTTCAATGGACTAGTCCATCTCAAATGTTTTTTGTTTTAATCTTTAGCCCACTTATTTATATAATTTTAGGCCCATTTATTTGTATTAATAGATGATACTCATTGTCTCATTTCTTCTTCCTATTTTTATTCACGACTTCACGTATAATCCCCTATTCTTAATTGAAATAATTCCCAAAGATTAAAACCCTGTAAAAAAATCGCCGTATACAACTACAATAGGTAACTTATATTATGAAATTTTTTTATTTTATATAAATTTTATTCGTACATTAAATGTTTAAAATTTTTTGACCCCCGTAGCATTAAGTCCTTACTCCGCCCCTGGAGCCTGGGCGCAATTATGCACACATTGGCGCGCATTATCATCCTTTTTTGATATTTTTTTAAAAATTTTGTGGTATTAAAAAATTATCAATGGCTAATTTATTCATTTTGTCATAATTTAAAACAACCACTTGTACTGGAAGACACGGAAGACGAATTAGATGAAGAAGAGGATATTGAATTTGAGTCCGACAAAGAGTTAGATAAGATTTAAATTCCTATACTATTTATTTACTATTTTATATTTAAATTTGAAACTTATCTTTTGTTGAAAACTTTGAAAAAATATATATAACGTTCCTATAAATCTATTTTAAATATTTAGTAAATATTATTTTTAATTATTAAAAATTAAAATAAGAAAATATTTTTACGCTTTTTTACACCTAAGCTTGCATTGCCCATAACTTATCCTCAACACATCGCCATTAAAACATTGAATAAAATAACGAGAACAAATTTTGAGGTGAAATGGTCAATTTCTCCGTGTGAACAGGCCCAGTCTCTTGATGTAAAGTGTGACCCTGAACTCATTATCATTCTTATTGAGCTTAATTTTATTAATTCTTTAGGATAAATTTTCTAGAATCTGGATCGAAATCTTGGTTTTTAAAGTTCAAAGTGAATTCGTTTTTATTAATTCTTGCTTCTTCTTTTTTCCGATCTAATTTCTGGAACCGTAAAGGCTGCAAGAGTCCTTCAAACTAAGCCCTCATTTGATCTCCATTTTGTAGAAATGAAATTTGGTGGAATAGTGTGTTTTTTTTTTTTTGAAAAATGAGTGGTTGAAAAAGAAGGAAATTTTTTTTTTATTTACGTGTAATATTATTTTATAGAAGATTGTGTGATTGAAAATAGGAGAGTGAAAAATTGAATGTAATGGAATGAAAATTAGTGGAGACCAAACGATGACTAAATTGTGCTACTTGTTGAAGCATCACTGACTTAAGAAGGGAAAAAAAATACAGAATTTTCTAGGATTTGCGCCAACTTTTACTAGCCAACATAGTACAAAATCTGGAGAGTCGAACCCAGAAAGATTATAGTGAATGAGATTAATGATACGATATGAAGTAATGAAAATTGCAACAAAAAAATAAGATTTAAAAGTAAACAAATTCACAAAGAAAGTTAATCGCAGAAACACGACGTTTTATTAATTGACAATATGGAGAGAAATACAAGAATTCAGCAATTCTTGCTTGAACAAAACTGAAAGATAAGACCACTATTTATATGTACATGACATAACATAAAGATGAAAATAATATATTTCCATAAAAATCACGTGAATTATAAAGAAACAAAATTTCCCACATGAAAAATAAGGAAATAGTTTATCTCCAAAAAAAAATACACCATAATTTGGGTCACAAATCCAACAATCTACACCTTGACCCAAATTCTGGTGCAACACATGAAACTCCAAGATTTCAAATCTGTCTGCATCAAAATAGCCAATCTCCTCAACACAGTACCAAAATTCTCCAAACCAACCGTCGCCCTCTGCAAGGCGTATACAAGCGACACCTGAATCCGAATCCTGGGTTCTCAAAATTCTACCAAGGAATTACTGTTGATCAAACAGGATTAAAGCACACCCTATAGCAGAAACCATACCACATGCTGGATCAAAGGCCCATTGCTAGAACTGTCGCCTTCAACGTCCGTAAAAGCATCCCTGACATTATTGACACCACGGTACCTACGCTCCATGAGTCCAACCCTAGTAAATGAACACAGTGTATCCACTGAAATTGGTGGCAAAGCGGAATCATCAATGCTCCCCTGAGCAATGTTCTAAACCGATCTAGAGCCCATCACAAAAGGTACTGTAACAAACTGAATATCTACCACGGTACTGAACTTGTCCCGATATTTCTTAATTGTACAACTAAGACTTCTTCCGTCCCTCCAATACAACCTAGACACTTATTTGGACCTTCAAAACTCCACTTCCATAAGAGAATTTATACATTTTTGCATCCAGAGTACTAAGTGAGATGAGATTCCTTTTCAGGTCTGGAACATGTCAAACCTGATCAATTGTTCTGACTATCCCATCACGCAACCTTAATCTGACTTGGCCGATTCCATCAACACGGCAAGACTGGTTGTTTCTCATCACAACTCCACCTTACTTGACAGCCTCATATATCTTAAAGAAATTCTGATTGGAACACATATGATGCTAACATGTCGAATCGAGAATCCACTCCTCGTCAGGCCTAGATTCCATGTCAGATACCACGGTCAACATCACATCTCCGCCATCTGAAAAATCTTCAACTGCATTCGTTTCCTCTAAAGTCAAAGGTTGCGCTCCACGATTTGCAGTTAAATCACCTTTAGCCTACAACTTATCAAAATCCTTTTGAATATGTCCTTTACGTCTGCAGTAGAAGCAAAACAAATTGCAGTTATTCTTTGATTTGCCCCTCTGTCAACCACTATGAGATACAAGAGCTTCATCATCCCTCGATATAGCTCCAACAAAATGCTTCAACTTCTTCTTTGAGGTCAAAGTATCATAGACGTTGTCTACAGTCAAAGTATCCAACTATATAAAATGGTGTCCCGAAACAACGCATAAGAGCTAGGTATCGAACATAATAGGGTCAAGGCAAGATACTCTTCATCGTACTTAACCTCCAACGTTTCCAAATCTGCGACATTTTCCTTGAAATGGCAATATGATCTTTCAACAACTCTCCTTCCACCAATACAGCTTCTACTTTAGAGTCAGTTTACTAATAAGACTCTAGGTCATACATAATTGCTCTAGTTTCAACCACAAAGCAGTTGCTATTTTATCCTGCAGAATATTCTTAGATAGATGACGATGAATCAATGACAAAGCATTCTGATCCCTCCGTTATTTCTTCTCTGTTGTCCAATTAGCTGACATCTTCTCTAAATTCAGCAACACATCATTCAAATCCAATTGCGCCAGAATAGCCCTAATCTTTACTTGCCACTAAGAAAATCTTGTATTGCGATCCAACATCGAAATGTCATACTTCATGATAGTCATCTCTGAAAAAATCTCAACCAATCCACAACAAGAACCAAGCTCTGATACCACTTCTTGGACTCGGAAGGATTGTAGTGAATGAGATTAATAACGCGATATAAAGTAATGAAAATTGCAACGAGAAACAAGATTTAAAAGTAAAGAAATTCACAAAGAAAGTTAATCGCAGAAGCACGACGTTTTATTAATCGACAATATAGAGAGATACAAAAACTTAGCAATTCTTGTTTGAGCAAAACTGAAAGAGAATACCACTATTTATAGGTACATGACATAATATAAAGATGAAAATAATGTGGAATAAAGAAATAATATATTTCCATAAAAATCACATGAATGGTAAGGAAACAAATTTTTCCACAAAAAAAATAAGGAAATGAATTATTTTCAAAAAAAAAATTCACCTTACTTTGGGTCACAAACCCAACAATTTCAATATTCAATATTCCTAGGAGCAAGGACCAGACCATCGAATTCCCACATGTATAGTACAAGATCCATGCATTTGAAATGTGAATTGAGTGAGATAGTGAGTGGAGAGAATTGAGATACAAGTGATGTGCCACGAGTGGAGTTCTAGTGTAGCAGGCCAAGGTGATTGCTTTCTCGAGTAAATTAGAATAAGTAGTGTCTTGGTATCTTTATACGATCCAATCAAATTGTACAAGTTGCTTTTCTTGATAATAAAATCACTTTATTTGGTGTTCAAACTAAACACTTGTCTAGTCAAGGTTTCCCTTCTGCTTTAGAAGACACTCATAATTTGATCATTCATGCTACAATTGTTGCTGTCAAACTAGGAACATAAGGCCTGTTTGATGTAGATTTTTTAAAAAGTGATTGTTTTTGGATAAGTAGGAAAAAGTTATGTGTATGCATGCAAAAATATTTTATTTAGAGAATGTCACTGAAAACGAGTTTGGGAAAACGTGGGCATAGTATGATTGAGATAGAAACGCTTATCGGAACAATAGACTTCAGCCCTATTTGAGCCGCATGTTTTGAAAAAAAATACATTTTTAAACAATAATTTGAAATCATTTCAACTACACATTCTTCAATAAAATAACATTATGTGTAAATCCAAAACTTTTTCCTTTTTTTTTTACAACACATTCTCCATCAATTTACTATTCCAAAATACATTCTTTCAAAATAATGTGGCTCAAACACGCACTTCATATAATTCTTCAGTCTAGAAATTACAGAGAACGACCCTATTAGTAGTGGATGTCCGACTTTTAGTTATGGAAGTCAGTAGAGACATTGGGACAGTGGTTTCCTTGTTTGTCTTTTGCAGCCTGCTCCATGCATGAGAGATGTTCCAAAGCTCTCCCGGTAGTTGTTCATCGCGTTCATACTGAACCTCTCTCTGGTTTGGCATTCACCCAAGAGTCCATTCTCACAGTCGGCCGAGAGGGCCACATAAAAATCTGGATGAGACCAGACCAAGGTTTGCTGAAAACCAATCGAGTAGCTCTGATTCTTTGATGAGCACAAGCTCGAAGGAAAAACCATCATTAACTGGAAAATTTGTCAGTTCTAGTTGCAGACAACATGCGTGCAAATATAAGCCTTTGCTAGTGGAGCTGGATGATCGGTGCAACTGTCTCTGTAAGTGCATCTTCACGACATTTCTTCGATGTAATTCACATGCTGGGAGATTAACTGAGATTAACTGACAGTTCAGTTTATAGCTGGGGTTGAAAATGTTATTGAACTGCAGTTTTGAGGATTTAAAAAGAATGTGCAATCCTTTGCAAGTATGAGAGAGTGTCAAAAGAACATTTACAAGGTTCAGCAATAATGAAGTTGCTCTACACAAATTTACAGTTCTTTAGCCTGTTCACTTACAAGCACCAGATAACACGATAAAAATAGTATTGAGTCACAGTTTGTCGCTATTAGCTAACATAACATCTGCACAAGTGTGTAAGTGCTTGTATTTTCTCTTCAACGTCACATTTTTATGGTTGCTGGTGGTCAGCTTCCATGGTCAATTCCTTCGTTTGTCGTTTCTGTTTGACATTGTTGAGAATTCATTTGAGGCATGTGAATGCTATCTGAAGATTGATTCAGTTGTGTGGAATCTCGTTGTTGATGTGGCTGAGCATTCCACCACCTCCATTTCACAAACTCGAAAATAATAGAAGTTCCACACATTGCACCTCCAAATCCAGCAAAAGTAGCAAGAAGCACTGACAGAACTCCCTGCACATGAAGCTACAGATACAGCACAGAAAAGAATTTAGGGTCAGAAGCAAACATCGTGTTTCAGATCAGTCGACAGTATGTATTAGTAAATAGTTAGGGAAATAAATTGGTCCATTAGGTAACTCCAAGCCTTAAAATCAGCCTTGATGAGTTAGATTGTTGTCTGAACTGAATCTATTGATACCGGTAGTCACCTAAGTTAGAGTTTGTTTCACTTTGTTCACTGAATTTGCAAAATGAGTTGTCCCAAAGGAATAACAACAGAAGAAAAAGAAAGAAAAATATATATCGAATTGAAGAACTTAATCTTTCTTCTCCAACCCTAGGCAGCCCCCCTCTTTCCACTACCACTACCACTACCACAGCCATTGCAACCACTGCTATACAAACATTTATACTAATTTAGCAGGTGGGAGGTAGATGGAGTGCCTAAATAGAAACAAAAACAAAAGTCAAGTGATTAATTTAGAACATAAAATTATTCCATGACCAAAGTAATACAACACTATAAGTTGGGGAACGAACAATGTTTTTAACCCATATGCTCCTCGTCTTCAACTTCACTTAGCAAGTTGTCAATATTAGCTTCTTGGAAAGATGTCTTACCATTGAGTGGAATATCTGCGCGAAAAGAACTACCAATCCAAACTGAATAGTTGCATATATCCAAGCATATCTTCTCCTTACTACAAGGATACAGTGGAGGAAATAATAAAATCAAATTGACATGACATGAATTGAATTAGAATTCTTTTAAACAGAATCATGTACCCATGGTAGCTGACGTCATAGATGCAACAAGACCTAATATGCAGGAAAAGGGCAAAGATATTGCGATAGCACTAGATCCCAATTTTGTAACCTGCACATAGAGGACGCTATTAGGATTATTGACAGGATTACATGACCCAGGGAATGTTTGGCTAAGCTTAAAAAGTTTACTTACAACTAAATAAGTAATTTTGAGATTAAGATAAAATTTACTTCAGAATCAAAGAAAAAAGTTTCTAATACATGTTTGGAAACAAAAAGTAACTTAAAAGTAACTTTAGTCTTTTCAAGATTAACCAAAAATGTTTTAAAGTTGTTTGACTTACTAGAAATTGCTCCAAAAAGCAAAAATATGCAAGCATGCTGACAATCACGAGAACAGGAACTTCCTGCCAAACCCTGGATATATTGACACGTGTTTTAGCTTAGTGAACATAGCATTTATAGTTTGGCAAAAGTTTTTTAAATTTTAATTGACTAGGTACAAAAAATAGTTGATTTACCCAAATGAGCAGCTTCACCACATATACGTAAAAAAACGCCTCAAACAAAAAAAGTCTTATCCTCTCCATTGCAAATATAACTTGACAAACAAGTACTTGCCTATATTGATAAATTTCAGCTGGACTAGTTCCACTTCCTCGAGCCCGAGTGCTTTGGATTCTCAAAAGTGTAACAGGTAAGTTCTGAACCTCTTTCTTGCAGACATCACAAGTCTTGTTGCCTTTTATGCTAAACCATTTAATAGCACATTCCTGGTGGGCAAAGGCAAGCTCACCTTTACAGCTGCATTCCATTTTTAGCATATCCGAGCCCTCACCAAGTTCAACCAAACAGATCCTGCATACAGCTTCTTCTTGAGGGATGTCTTCACCATAATTATATTTTTCATCTGAAAAGACTAGCATAAGGTCCACGACGGTAATTGAAAGTCAAAAATATGCATCAAACATGAAGTAAAAATGGTTACAGATAACAGTTAAAAATTTCATTATTAAATATATTCTCTAACCAAAATTAGGCAGTTAAATAATTTCAGCCAATGCTCAAATCAGAAGTACATTTAATTTGACTCTGTTTTCCTAAGCTTAAAAATAATTACAAGTTATTCTTTTTTGTTTTCAAAAGTGATTCAATAAGTTTATTTTTTCTTAATTTGAAAGTTATTTATTTAGAAATAACTCTTACTTACTGTAAATTAAGTAACTTAATTCCAATTTTTAATTAAGAAAAAGAATAATTCTAAAACTAACTTATCACATGCGAGTAAACTTTTTAAGCTTAGCGAAACATGTTATAACTTAAATGTTCCAGCATTGTTTTCCAAGGAAATCGTCTACATAAGCTTATTTCCAATAAGCATGACTTGTAATCCATGATTTTCCTAGTCTCAACATGCAAAGTGAGTCCAAAATAAGGCAGAAACCGAAAGATCCACTTCACATCTACGAAACCTACACTTTTCCTGTGACCTATAAAAGATATTGCAGTTTCTGCTATGTAGAAACTGAATTTGTCAGATCTCCTTTACTAGGTGAATCTAGAAATACAGATCGTTCAGAATTACATAGTTGCTGAAATAGTTACTTGTATCGACTGTTTGAGTGGCAACTGGTGCAGTGGCTGTGCATTCTGCTGCTACCTGTGGAGTTGTGGGAATCACATGAAATACATCGCCTAAATGGCCCATCTGTTTTATGCTTCCATCTTTATTTAACACGGGGACTGAATGTGAACGGTGTATTCCGACTTGTGTATGAATTTTCTGCATAATGATCTAGTTAGAGAAGAAAAAACTTCATTTCAACAATTTAATATACAAATCAGGGTGGATGGAGAGGATGCGGGTGGAGGAGCCAATGATTTGTGGGATGGGAGCCTGCGGGTAGCCAAAGGATGAGAAGGGGTTGCAGTCTGTGGTGGGTTGGTGGAAGCAATGGCGATTTCATAAGAGATACTTAGCAAAAGTATATGATAATGATTAATGAACAAGTTACAAGAATTTAGGTATGGAAAGATGCTACGTAAAAGGCATAAGCTTTCTTCTGCAATTCAACTAAAATAAGATGCAAAAGATTGAGACAGTATTTGGAATGTTTCAATATTTGTGAATTACTAATAACGTTAAGTTATGCATAGTTAACAAGGACAACACATTTCTCACAATAACTGTAAGAATGTTCCATTATTTGATAGAGAAACCATGAGTACATGCACATAATCTAGCTTTTAAATTCTGGCTCTCAAGCTAAAAAGAAACTGGTACTTACAGCTATATTAACAGTGATGTCCATGTTCCTTCCATAAGCAGGATCCTGGTTCGAGTGCAGAACTAGGGTAGCTGGTGAAGATGACGTTCTTGTCATTTTCGGTTTGAACATGTTTGTAAGAGAGACTGTCCTTGGAATTGACGTTTTCTCTTGTCTCGCAGGGGAACCTTCCAGCACTAGCATGGAAGCTTTTTCTATCTCTGAATTTGTATTCCGAAATTTGAAGCTTAGTTTAGGAAGGAAATTTCTCATGGTTGATTTACCCTTGGACAATGTGAGATCCGGAGATCCATGAACTTTAACATGACTAGGGCTTGGTAATGGGGAAAAATTCACTCCTTTGGGAGTTGGAATTGGCGACGGAGGCATGTTTATTGTCACGGAATCCTCTCTGGATCCTTCGAATGCTGGGTCCGATATCTTCTTAGTTAATCCTTCCCTCCCTTGATTCTGAACAGTTGACAATTCCTCGACTATTTCACTTGAATCTCCAGCCTAAGATATCCATAACGGATCAGACAAATTAACTTATCAATCATCTTTCAAGCATCAAACATCGTAATTATATCAAAATTTAAAGTAGCCACAGATATAATCATTACTAGTTCTCAGATAAGCTAATTATTTCCAGTAAGTGAAATTACTAATTTAGCATCAATAACCATTGCCAAAGTAGTAGAAGCAAGGACCGATAACATTGTAATTCAATAATAAAAATAACTATAAACATCAACATCGTCAAATATAGTAATAGTATAGATCATTAATCTTCAACAGGTCAAGAAATGCAAAAGTATACATATATTTTTCCCTTAGGACCAATTCCTCTTAAAACAAGGTATTAATTAGCCTTAACTTTTTCCTATCTTGTACAGATGTGTTTAACAGTTTAAGCATTTTAAGTCCGGACCTAGGCTCACCGTGGATCAAACTAAAGGCACTCTATAAAATTTTTGGTACATTTAGAATCTTTATGGCACGTTTGGTGGGGAATATAACGAATAAAAAAAATGGTAAAATCTTGAGTCCCGTTCGAGTTTTGCATACCATACACGCAAAATTACTGTTTTCTGGGGGTATAATGAAAATTATAAAGATTATAACAAGGAAAAAACGAAACTTGATGATAGCCCACCAAAGAACGAGAGATAAAACACAGTTTATTAACAAAAATGATGATAGAAGCATCAAGCAACAGGTATTATACATATGTGTACATATAATCATTCTGTAAATTTGTAATCGTATACAGAGACCAACGAAAAAGATTAAAGAAATAAAAAATGCTAAAATATATATATTAAACGATACCTTTAGAACTGGAGGAGGTGTTAAATTAACAGCGTTGTTGCTACTGGAAGAACCCTCGCCACTATCTTCGGCTAAAGATTTCTCTTCAGCAGTTTTCATGTTTATTTAACAGAACAAAAAATTTATACAAATCGAGAAATTTCAATAAGCTTAACGTATAAATCTGCGGAATTCAACAGAAAATACACAATATAAAAGAGAGATAGGAGGAGGAAGTCACTTGGCGCAAAACCAAGTGCAGATCATTAAGAGAAAAGGTGTTGCTATGCTAGTGGCCTAAACAACCTTCAAAATTTATTTAGGGCCAAGAAAGATTTTTTTTAGTATAAAGAATTTCGTGAAATTATTTTTTTTTCCTTTTTTTAATGTATGATTAAGATATTGGAAGAAGTTATGGATTCAAGTACAGAAGTATTTTATTAAGAAATATAAATTTGAAATAGATTTTAAAGAATTTATATTAACCATAAAAGGTGTGTGGATCAATATAAACTTTAATTAACCAGATAATAAACTCGAGCACAACTAATTATGTGTTTTATCTACCTTCTAAAAGAAATTGTAAATTATAATCGTAGTTTTTAAACATAAACATGAGATTTATGTATGTTCTAAATATAACTCATGAATAAATCTAGTCGATTGAAAACATGTAATTTAACAAAATTAAATGGCATTCTTCAACCGATCACACGCCCTTTCAAGAAATAAACTTTTATTTGTTATATAAAGTAAATTAAAATAGAGAAGATAAAGACTTATGTTTTGTCACGTGTTTCATTTTTAAAATGTTTTGAATGAAACACGAAAAATGATTTAACTCATACCATGTACACGTTTGAGGTTACGAATCTTACAACCAAGAGAGTGCCTACCTTTCTTCATATCCCTATCAATTACTTGGATTAATTTTACAAATTCTTAAATAGATATACAACCTATCTACTGATAAACTTATTATTTAATTCGAACTATTTACAAAAGTAATCAATTTCGATTTATTAAAAAGTAAAATTCAGTTTATTATTATGATTTGTTTATTTTCAATTTCACATTTTGCTTACATGAATTTCCAAATTTTTTTAATTAGAATAATATATTAATATGTGGTTCATGTACAAAGCTGCCTTTTGTGAGTTCAAAGGCCAAGTCTCTCTAATTAAGGCATT